TATATATATATTTGACACTGTCAGGTTTTATAAAATACGCCTTCAACGTTATAGCATTTTGAAAATGTTGGTGAGAAGGTCAATTTCGAGGTCTGGCCATGCCCCCTTAACATGCTCAAAAACTGACCGTTTGGATAATTTTTCCATGTCTTAACAGTTTGTTGACCAAGTTTGAAGCCGATAGGTCAAAATCCCTAGGAGGAGTTCGCGAAAGTTTGACGTGAGCGAAAGTGAAACTTAGCAAAAGATTGACCTTTGAACCAAAATGGCTGACTTCCTGGGACTACCTCTAAGAGACTTTTTTTTAATTTTGGGGAGTTCTAGCAATGTGCCGAATTTCAGCTCTCTAGGACTTACCAGTTCCTCTACCTCACTTTAGGTGGCGCTGTGGACCGGTTTGGCCACGCCCATTAAAAGTTCCAATGGAATCTTGCAATTTTTGCCGAGTAGTTATGCTTTTTTGTGTACCTTGTTGTAAAGTGTTACCCTTATTTTATAGAAAGACATTTAACATTACCCTTCAAACAATACAAACTTGMTTTACCTGGACAACAGCCCTTTCTCACAGCAGAGCAAAAAGACACAGTGGCTGATTTTCAGTCCGTTGCGCAGGTAGATAAGATCGATGGATAAGATCAGCTTGTCATGGAAGTACTGGCCGATAGCTGATCTCTCAAAATTAAGGAAATCTGGGCCAAATATCGGTGCACCTTTATTGCTCATATTAAACATGTCAAAGTCATGATTAACATTTGTAGCTACACTTAGCCATTCCCCCATTGAGTAACAATTTGTGTACAACTCTGAGCAGACTACAAAGTTACTGTCAAATTAGTCAAGCAAATTACTTTTTGAGCCATTTCAATTATAGCATACTAAAATTCATTGTATAATCAGTTATTTCCACATCAAAGTAAGTGTGCACCAGTCAAACCAAAAACATGGCACTTAATAAAGTATCATTTGGTTTATTTTGCAACTTCAGAGTAATTTACAGAGCAAATTACTGCACTGGCAAATTAATTTTACCTGTAGAGTGACTTACTGTCTTCTAAACAACATCTCTCATCCCCCCTGTGTGTCTCTAGTTGAGTTTCGGGGGGATGCCGTACAGTGGGAAGCCAGTGGGGGGTGGAAGGAAAAACTTCAAAGGCTGCATGGAGAGCATCAACTACAACGGAGACAACATTACAGACCTGGCCCGCCGGAAGAAGCTCGACACGTCCAGCTTTGTAAGAGAAATGTGTTTTTATGTTCATGTGTGCCCAAGCTTCCTAACGATACACACCGTGAGGTCTGAAGTTGCAAAAGGCAGCTGAAACTCAAAATGTCAACGTAATGTCTCGTAATTTTACTTGGGTTTTCCACATGCTGTATTTTAAGGGTAAAAGAAGCACAATCAACTCTGCATTGCAGTCTGTTAGACTTGCCTTCAAACCATCTTTCTCATATTAAAAACTGTTTTCCGAGGAGTCTGTTAAATCCTTCTGGTCTTATGTATTTGAACTAGACAGATTCCTGCTCATGTTGACTTTATCATAGCTACCAGAACCAAACTGTCTCTCTACACACCTGCTCAGCTTCAGAGTTATCCACTAATTTGGGCTATTCTTTAAAAACCGCTTTGCTCACAACTAAAATAAGATCTCTGCACCTTTTTTGTGGGGTTTTAATGTAGTTTTAGAGACTCACTTGCAGAAATAAACTCCCACCGACACAGTTTCAGATTTGATGTGCAAACACACACTCATTTGTCCCTAGAGTGTCTTGTTGTGCGCAGTTGTTTGCATCAAACTCAGCTGAATATTTCTGCAAATCCTATGATTGTACAAAACAAAAACAATAATAATAAAATAAGTTGTGTSCATTCCAACGCAGAATTCTGATCTAACCCTGTGTTTATCCACAAGATTACGCAGCCAGCAGAACTTTTTTTGATCTTTGGTAAACTGATAGAATAAATGGAAGAATTAATCCCCTTCATTAAAGCCACACCTCTAATTCTCTTTGACTCACACAGCTRTTTATTTCTAATCAAAACAGACCCACTTTCAGATTTGAAAACACACACAATCAGGAAACATCTATAACTCATGAGGCGGCTCAATGTTGCATGTTTGCAGATGATTTGATTAAATTAAACTGCTGGAAAAAAAAACTCTTTTGAAATTAGTGCCTAATTTCCACAAGTTCTTTTTCTTTCCCCTCCAGGAAACCAAATTTACCCAGAGTTCTGATCAACCCTGATATAAAAGCCAAAAACAGATTGTTTTGTTGTGTGTAGAAGCATGAGCAGTCTTTTCATCTAGCAACTGTCACAAACATCTGAGGCTGAGAAGATGGATTCAAAGCAGCAGACTGATACAAACACATGCAAACAGAAGACATTAAAAGATGACAAGAAAAAAACAAGAATAATAACATTTCTTTCTTACCGATGGCCTCTGTTTTATTTCTTTATTTTTTATCTGTGCCCCAGCAGCGTAATCTGTCGTTCACCTGCGTGGAGACGCACACCTTTCCCGTCTTTTTCAACGCCTCGAGTTTCCTGCAGCTGCCAGGCCGAGCCAACCACAACACCGTGTCTGTCGGCTTCCAGTTCCGTACGTGGAATCCAGACGGCCTTTTACTCTTCAGTAATCTGGATGACGGCACGTTGGAGATATCCCTCGAGGATGGCAAAATTACAATTCATATCAATGTGTCAAAGGGAGCCAGAAACTACAGAGTGGACTTATCATCAGGTGAGTCTAACCTACAGTCATTTCTACAGCCCAACTCTGACCTCTTACCCTAAACCCAACCTGAAAGGTGATCCTGATCCTAAATCTAACCTAAACTCAATTCACACCTTGGTTCTAAGCCTAACCCCTGAACCACCAGCAGTATTTCCACAAATGGGAAACAAGCTTTTGTCTCCATAAGGAGCAGTGGGCCCTCACCAGGCTTTKTGTACCAAGAAAATGGTCAAAAATTGTCCCTASCAGGTAACAAAAACATGCACACGGCTAACAAATTACAWCTCATCTTTCTTTTAGTTTAGTGATGCATTTGTCTTCAGCTATATGGCAGACTTTAACATTAACCAGTTATTGATATTAGAATCAAAACAATGTTTTAATTTAATGTTTGCATTTTGGTTTTGGCATGTTGCTGTACTATTTATGGAAATATAAAGTAATTAGAAATGCTTTTTTGTGACATTTCACAGGAAGAGACTAAGCAGATGTTTTTATTACTTGGACAAAAATGGCATATTTGCAGTCTAACTGATTTCATCCTGTTGCACATTAAAGGTTTGAATTTTTCACATTTGCATATTTCACAGTTTACACTTTTTATTTTTAATATATTACATATTCAGTGTTTTTGTCTATTTTCCACATTAGTTTGCATATTTGAATATTTCTAACTAGTTGCAAAACATTTATTAAATAACTATTCTTGACTGTCATCTTTTTTGAAAAGCCTGTTTTTCATTCTAAATCAGTGATGAGCAACTTAAATGATGGAAGGGGTCACAATTTTTGTCGACAATATTACCAGAGGGCTTGATAGCGCTGCACACTTTCCCAAATGTAATAAAATTGCCATTTTAAAAATGTTTGTATATATGTTTATTAAACCAACATACAGTGCTGTAACTYAACAYRGTTCATGCTCAAATGCATGTATRACARTTRYWMTCTTGTTTAATAAATATTAATAAAAAACATGTGAAGGAAACAAAACCTAAACACTTTAACAAGCTAAAGTGCACAGACATAAAACGCCAAAAGTGCAAACTCCTGCATGGTTGTARTTCTGTAAACTCATCATATTTAGCTTTGTGCAACATGTTGTAACAGTGACTTGTACTAAAATCCTTCATGGCAGACATCATCTGTAAGCAGACTGAACACATACTGTTGGTTTGCCTTAAAATTCTGTGAACAGAAAGTCTACCTCCCCCCAAAAAAACATTTTCTGTTTAGTTTTACTTAAATCACTCTTAATGTAGCTCTTAGATTCTAAGAGTGGCTTTGAATGTTTTGGGGTTTTTTTTTTAGAAAAACAATGGGGGATGGGCTTCATTGGCAGACTGGGCAGAGGTCACCCGCAGGCTGCCAGTTGCCCATTCTTGTTCTAATCCATAAATTTAACAACAAACAAGCAAAATGTTGAGTTGTCCCTTTTTAAAATTTTGCTTCTATCCTCATCCCCTCATTTCCTCTCCTTCTTTGAGTCATTCCCTCTCTTTACCTCTTCTCCCTGTTTCACTTTCCGTAGGCACACTCATTTATTCTGTCCACTGCTGCTATAATAGGCCATTATGCCCAGGGGTAGGGATTATTACAGAGTTACCCTCAAGGCTAATTGGGCTTGAGCCCACGATTACATCAGTATTATTTGAACACATAGACACACAATCATTCCCCATACACACACACACACACACAAACACACTTCATTTTTATTCTGTTATTAATATCTTTTTAAAAACCACACTGGCTTCTGGCTTCAATGACACAGCAGGAGCTCAGTCGACTTGATGACAAAAATACTAGAGAGGAAACACTGAAATTAAGGGACATCTTTGATCAACTAAATGGAAATATTTTTGCATTACATAAATTTATTCAGTTAAAGTAAATTTCTGTTTATTTAATTAAAGATGAGCTTTGGTCTTTTAATGCGAGCAGATGAGCAGACTCTGAGGGGCAGAGCAAGGAAAAAACAGACATTTTCAAACAAAACTATGCAATTTATTTTCTTTTTGCCAGTGGGGGTAATTTGTTAATAACCCTTTTTGGCAAAAATGCAACTCACATTTAAATAATCTTGCATTGGCTTGGAGGTAAATTAAATTATTTTCACCAAATCCACTGATGTTTTTGTTTGTGACTTGTTTTTTTAAACACACAAATCTGATTTATTTGTAATTGACATGGAAGAAGTGAGGAGTATAGAGGCAAACCATGTGATGCAGTCTGATCACATGTCTCTGCCTCCATTTAAAATCTGATGATGACTCTTACCTGTTTGATGACAAATTGTTAGTGTTTTATATTTAGTTATAATTTCTGACTTTTAATTGCCATATTTTTCAGAAGTTGTGTAGAAACAGTAGATTCAGATTCACAATCTGATTTAACAAAAACTCAACAGGCATTATAATTGATTTCAATAGATGTGCATTGGTTTAGTTCTGTTAAAAAATATTTGGGAAAACAGCTTCAAACTTCACCAGGAGGACCACAAAACATTGTGCTGCATTTCTCGTAAAAGTGACTCAGGATACAGCCTTCGTCCCCACATAGGAGTATTTTTGATCACTTTTCCTAAGCTAATATGCTAGCTAACTGATGGATTTGAGCGGTGGGGTGAGCTGAATTTGACTGGAAAAAAGTGCAACAAGGAAATTAATTTCTGCTCCAAACATTTTATCAGTCATAAAATACCAACACTGGACCACCGAGATCCTATCCCTGCATTTTATGTCAAACATTTTCAATAGACCTTGTTGTTTTCAGTGTAGCCTGTTGCTAGCTTAATCCTAGCATCCATGCTAGCCTCCTACAGCGATCTATTACTGTCAGTCACACATACGGTGATAATATTATACTTTATACAAATTCAAAACGTTACCATTAAGTTATCTAGTGAAATAAATATACAGACACGCACACATACAGTAGATGTGGCAAGCTAAGCTATAAGACGTCTGTAAAAACATCAACCTTTTTTAACAATTCCTCTCGCTTTTCAAGTCTGTCAAAGACCTCAACCCTCCAGCCAACCTTTCAGCTGAGCTTTCCTGTGAATCCTGAATGTGTCCAAATTTTATTTAGGAATGTCTTTTTCTGTTACGGTATTATCACTGACTCTCCGTAGAATCCAGTTCGTCTGTCCAACCTTTTGAGCGAGCGGCAGGTAATGCATGTAAACGATATGTGTGACGTCAAGAGTGTAGGTCCCCATTGGACGATTCCCTTTAAAATAAAATAAAAACATAAACGTATAAAAACACAATACAGACAGATGTTTGTGAAGATGAAGTGTGTTTAAGAAACTGACATTGCTCAGCACGTCTTTCTGTTTTCTGATGTTTTGACACAAAATAAAGTTCAGCCTTGAAAACTGGATCTTTGCAAACAATGTCCTGATGCATCTCAGTAATCCAGGTAAAAAATCAAGAAGAAAAAAATTGTAAAGGTCTTCTGGACGGGTTCTTCTCTAATGAAACGTTTCGTCTCTCCTCCAAGAGACTTCTTCAGTCTGAGAGTTTCAGGCAAAATTCAGGCTTTTAAGCACTGCCTCCATGTGACTGATACTCGCATCACATGGCTATCGTTGACACCTAATTAACACCTATTGTTAACAGGGGTGGAGTGATACTGGCAATGGCAGAACTGTAGGAGGGGGACAACTGAAAACGGAGGCCTCCACCTCTGTTTAATGATGGACGGTCTTTCTTCACAAAAATGGCTTCTTTTACTCCGTAAAGACCGTCCATCATTAAACAGAGGTGGAAGCCTCCGTTTTCAGTTGTCCCCCTCCTACAGTGCTGCTATTGTCAGTATCAATCCACCCCCTGTTAACAATAGGTGTTAATTAGGTGTCAACAATAGCCATGTGATGTGAGTATAAGTCACATGGAGGCAGGGCTTAAAAGCCTGAATTTTGCCTGAAACTCTCAGACTGAAGAAGTCTCTTGGAGGAGAGACGAAACGTTTCATTAGAGAAGAACCCGTCCAGAAGACCTATAATTTTTTTTCTTTTTGCAAACAATCTTTGGTCAAACAGTTGATGAGGGAAATGTAAGCATTTAGAAATAAAACTGTTGTTCTTTATTTGTTGAGTCTTTGCTAAGTTTGCTGTAACTCTTGTGATTTGTCACACTACAGACTGAACGTTATGTTAGGCCCAGTTTATGGTGCATCGTCTCCTCAGCCGCGAATAGAACCATCCATCTCTGTCTCCCTCTCACACTAAGTTATTGGCACTAAATGAAGTGATGAATAAGCTTTTGTTGATGTTTTTTGGGTTGAAATGCTTGTTATGTTTGTGTCTCTGTGGCATTCTATATGTGTGTGTTTAAAAAAAGAAAGTGATGTCGGTCTGGGACAAAGAGATAATTTATGAACAATTTCATGCATTACTGTAATAAGAACATCATTTTCTAACAGACAGTTTATTTCGTAAGCCCCAGTGAACTGATAAACGAAGAACAAAAAACGACTAAATGGATTTGGAAATGAGGCTTGGGTGGAAAAAACTCAATCATAAATTCTCTTTAAAAGTTTCTGGACTTTATCATTAAATGTAACATCACTGGTTTAACCAGCTCCTTTAGGTTGTGTTCACATGGTTACCCAAATCAATCTCTTTATTTGTTGTTCCAATAAATATCCTCGTAAACATGATATAATTACTAGAAAAGTTTTCTTCTCCACAGAAACACCAAATACAATTTCAAAAGTTGTATGTGCTATAAACAAGGAGTGAAACATAGAGTATGCATTAAGATTGCACATTGGATGTGAAATGTAATCAGAAGAAGAAGGAAAAGATTGCTCTTATGGTTTATGGTGAGTGGGGATGGATAAAGAACCCGTATGAGTGGGAGCCTCGTAAGTGGGCCCATTTCTCTCCCCAAAAAGACACTGGTCTTTAGTCAAACCTTTGCATCCCTCAGATGAAGGACACGGGGTTAGAAACACTCAGTGTTCTGAGTTCCTCTGGATCCATAAAGAGGTCCCCC